TTTCTGCTTTTTCATCCTCTGAATTTAAATGTGTGTGTGTGTGTGTGTGTGTTCCCCCCTCCCCATCGCCCTACCATTTGCCTGCAGAGGATGTCGGGGGGGGGGGTTTTATGACGTGTCCTAGCTTGTCTTCAGACTGTTTCACCAAACTTTTCACGGCAGAGAATAGCAGAGAGAGAGAGAGTTAGTGAGATTGACAGTACTTTAAAAAATATATGGTTGTATATTTCTTGTTATTTGCAAGTATTTGTAAGTTACAGTCAATACTGCTGTATACAGGGGCACAGGAAGTGGTTAGGTGGCGGGACCTTGCTCTTTAGAGCTGAGACATTACTTTTAAAATATATGGTTGTATATTTCATGTTATTTGCAAGTATTTGTAAGTTGCAGTCAATACTGCTGTATACAGGCGCACAGGAAGTGACTAGGTGGCGGTGTCTCGCAGATTACACCCATATCAAGACGTCTCTTGGCCATTTCTCTCGACTTGAGAAAATATTGAAGAGTGAGAAAGACGAATGGCTCTTATTTATCTAACCCTAACGGATGAGGGGTGAGTGGTGGGGTGTGTGTGTGTGTGTGTGTGTGTGTGTGTGTGTGTGTGTGTGTGTGTGTGTGTGTGTGTGTCCTCCCCATCGCCCCACCATTTGTCCCGCAGAGGATGTCTGGGGGTTTTATGGTCCCCACACCTGTCTTGACTGTTCACCAAACTTTTCACGGCAGAGAATAGCAGAGAGCGAGAGAGAGAGAGTTAGTGAGATTGACAGTACTTTTACAAATATATGGTTGTATATTTCTTGTTATTTGCAAGTATTTGTAAGTTACAGTCAATACTGCTGTATACAGGGGCACAGGACGTGGTTAGGTGGCGGGACCTTGCTCTTTAGAGCTGAGACATTACTTTTAAAATATATGGTTGTATATTTCATGTTATTTGCAAGTATTTGTAAGTTGCAGTCAATACTGCCATTTTTAAAATATTTTTTAATTTTATTTTGAAAAACCGGAAGTGGGGGTGACCGGTAGGGGCAGCATTTTTATTTTTATCATTTTTAAAATATTTTTTAATTTTATTTTGAAAAACCGGAAGTGGGGGCGGGACTTCCGGTGGAGGGGGCGGGGCTTATGGGGGGCGGGACTTCCGGTGGAAGTGGGCGGGGTTTAGCCGGAAGTGGGCGGGGTTTAGCCGGAAGTGGGCGGGGCTTAATAAGTAGGGAGAGGTGTGACCTGTCACTTTCTATGCATACTAATGAGATTGAAGTGGTATGTGTATAACTACTTACCTTAATAATATAAAAGATTGTATTTGCGTGCATTTCCTGTTCGGAAAGTGGCAATGTACTGAGAGTGGAGGTGTCCTGAGATTAGCGCCTGCAGGCAGGCTCCATGGACCTGTCAGCTCCGGACTGCGCAAAATGCGTACATGAAGCGCTACGTCATGAACGCAAGAAATCTACCCTCGTGGGGGCGCGCTCATGTGATTGGCTTAGAATTGAGGAGACATCTGATTGGCTATAGATAGAAAAAATTACAAGTACGAATCGGCTGACCGTCAGGGGAGTCTCAAAAAACCCACACACGAATGCACAGCGATCCGTGCACAGAAAGCTGTTTGTGTTTGCAGGTTCAGAGGTTTTAAACGGAAAACAAATATGTGTGGATCAAAAATACATATGTAAAACTTTTTTCTGTATTTGGATTTTATTTACATGTATATGAAACGGAACACATTTGTGTGTGCATTGAAAAACACAAGTGTGGATCCGGAAATACAAGTGTGAATCCTTTAGCGCAGTGATTCTCAAATGGGGGTACGCGGACCCCTAGGGGTACGTTGGGGTACTGCAGGGGGTACGTGAGATTTATGGAAAAAAGAATTAAAAAAATACCATGCATGATTACAAAAATAATCTTAGTACAATAAGTTAAATAGAAAACACAATTTTATATAAAATATTCCTAGAACCACCAAGGGGATCCTCATATAAACATGTCAAATTGGTGTATTGTATTTTATAGTTTTGCATAATATATCATTTTGTTCATTGGTTTGTTAAACAGATATTACTTCAGTTGAAAAACTCAAATTGAAAAATTTGTTTTCTTTTTTCATGCATAAAATGAAAATATCCTTAGTTTGTTGTAAAGGAGTTAATAAATCACACACTGAGGGAACATCACTATATTGCAGTGGTTCTCAAACTTTTTCTGTTAGGCCCCCCCTTTGGAGAAAAAAAAAAGTCGGGCCCCCCCAACACAAGTCAGGCTCAGTGGCGGCACCAGAGATTTGTTTTGGGGGTGCTGTGGGGTAGCTTGACGTTTCATAGAGGGTGCTCAAACATTTAGGGTTTCCCATTAATGTACCGGTCGCTACAGTATTTTCAGGAATTTTCTACTGCAACAATCCACACGCATATACACAGTGTGACAGTTACAATGAAGGCTCAATCAGCTCACGGCATATAGGTGTAAGCAGGGGTAAAGTTCTATTTTTATAGGTGGTGTGTGGACCCCCAGGAAGATTTATTTTTAAATATTGAAGTTAAAAGCATCTGGTGCACTTTGAGAGCAAAATGAAGAGATCTATGGATACCTCTCTCAACACCTATGAAACAGACCTGTAAGCAGATTTACTTTTTCTTTATGGATATTTTACAAATCACCCTTTTAAACTTTATTCTTGTTTTACTGCCATATAGTATTTCATACCTGTTTTTCATTTATTCTCTTACTTTTTTATAACTATAATGATCATATAAACGTGTGCCTCGGAAATAATTGTTTACATTAATCGTGACCAAAACGTTTGAGACCCACTGAGATAACTTAGACTAAAGTTAACTATCTAAACACTGAGAGAGTCCTTTAGTTCACTGAGTCTCTCAGTCTGACAGGAGAGCTCTCCTCCACTTTGTTGTTGAAAAAACTCCTTATATCCGTTAGCGTAGCTCGCTAGCACCAGAAGCTAACAACAACGATCTCCGGTACCGGTGCGCTCTCTCTCTCGCGCACACAAAATGGCTTGTTTCACACACACACAGAGCCAAGCTTTAATGAAACACAGAGACCCAGACGTAATAGTACTGCATCATATTATTTTCGAATAAATAATTGTTCAATTTATGAATTTTTTGTTTTTGTTTTTTATCTTTTTTTTGTAAAAACCATTTTTCCTCCTGGTCTCTCGCGCGCCCCCTGGCATGCCTCTGCGCCCCCCAGGGGGGGAGCGCCCCCCACTTTGAGAACCACTGCTATATTGGAATTATTTGTATAGGCTTTTTTGATCAAACATTTTCGGGGTCGGTCAGGGGGTACTTGGCTGAGAAAATGTTTCAAAGGGGGTACATGACTGAAAAAAGTTTGAGAAGCACTGCTGAGCAGATCATGAAATACAAGTGTGAATCCTTCTGTGTGCTTGTGTGTATTATGAGACTGTTCTGAGCCCATAGAACCGAGCCGCCTGGACCTCATTCAGCACCTCACTCAGCAGCAGCAGACACACTCGGTAAGCTTTGATTTGATCTCATTTGTTTGAATATCCAAACCCTTCAGAGATGAGGGGCAATGTTTGGAACTCTATAACTGATTTGACTAATCCAATTATGTTCCTCAAAACCCAAATATAATGTTCTAAAAAGGCTTTGTCCAACTCTCTTGGACAAAACATTTTATTCAATGAGTTGCTTAAGTTCATAAAAAAAAGAAGTGCAACTCATTTCCATAGAGTTGCTTCTTGAAGGTTATAATGAATCAGATCGCATGAAATAATGTGGTCAAAAATTCTGAATTTGGCAGAAAACATGAAGGCATGTTGTCATTAATGTTGTTTATAAGAACATTTGAGTGCAATGGTTATATTGATTAGAGACCAAGGCCATGTCCTGTGGTACATTTCCTAATAGTGGAACAACTAGTGTTTGCCTGACATAGTCACCTTAATTGGTCCAAGATATAAAGGACTGTTACTTCTTTACATATTAATAGATATTATTACAATATCCTGTTTCTACTTAACGTAAAGGGCCTGGAACCTCAGAAAATAGTTTGGGCCTTTGTAGTTATTTTTTGGTAGCCATGATTTTTTTTGCCAAAATCCTGCTCCAAGATTGCTGCTAAGAAACGTTGGAATATATGTATGGCATTCACAGTAAATGATGGCCAACGTTTGTAACTGTGGTTTGTGATCTGACTTGTCAAACTACATGTTGTAGACGTCGGGAGTTCCTTCACACAGTGCCCTTCCTTGACCAGCATCATGGTCACATCACTTGTTTTTGTTTAAATGGTTTGGTATATCTTTTTAATCACGTCCTGTCACATTCTGATGTTTTGATATTGTATGAAGTCACTTTAATATCCAGTGTTTAGGACAGAATCACCAAGTCTTGTGTCTCATGTGAACACGTTTTCAGAATTGCCACGTAGCACAGGGGATGCCAAGTTTTAGCCTTTGTGATAAGACAAAGATTCCCCATCTATCATACGGATCCTTTAAAGTGCTTTTCTGAATATTTACTGAGTATTGTATTCTGAGTCGGTGGGTAGATGTTTAGTGTCCAAAAAAGCAAATGTTGCAGTGAGACTGCTACATCAGCAAGATTATTCTTTGTCTTGGGTACTGTTGTTTGTTGCTTAGCAACATGCGGGAAGAACATAGTTACTGTTTCTAGGACCACCTCCTTGTTGCCATGCTTACCAGTACTGGGAGCATCCAGTAATGACTGCCTTATGTTCTCTGTGTCATAGGTTCATAGGTAACAGTGGATGGCGATCATTCTCCCCCTCTGGGATGGCAAATCATTTCATTGTGAGATGGATTAATCTTACTAATTTATAAGTAAAGTGTTTTCTAATTTACTGCACTGTGTCTTCTGTCATCCTTTTTCTTCATCTTATTTGTGTTCAAGTACGGAAATTAATAACAGTGATATTTTTATCATGGGTTTAAAATATTTAAAGTTCACTTGAGAGTATGTCATGATGAAATATACAAACACATATTGTCTTTTGAGGATGCTTTTAATCAGTTAATGATGAAAGGAAAGAAGTGCTGATTCATTGTCACAATGAACAAAAAGAACAGTGAAGATGATTGAAGCCGCAGAATCAAGTTAAGCCTTCTCCTGCTTAGGAGTCTCTTCCTCCTGTTTCTCTGGTTCTGTCAAAGAGAAAGTGACTTGTGTTTTATTGTACAGTTTTCTTAAGGTTATGACATCCCTACCAAAACCAAGTAGATGACTACAGACCTTTGAGTTGGATGGGACCCAGGACCAGAGTTTGGCTGTCGTGTTTTGACCCCACGTCTCTGGCGGCACGGTTGTAGCATCCACGGCGGCAGCGGGAATTGTTGTCAGAGGCGAGGCATATCAGGACCTTGCACTGGATGTACACCGACTCTGTGGCTCGCAGGAATTGGAAGGCCTGAAATCTGAAGCGGGCATAGGGATGGGTGCCACTGACGTAGGCATAGTAGGTGTTATCCACAGGACAGCTAAAGGAGAAACAGACAGTGTTACTGGAGAATATTACTATGTCCGGTTATCAGAAAAAGCTAGGTCCGGTAAGTATTTCTATATTTTAATACTTAACTGATTAAAGAAAATATTAGATTCTATATCAAATAGACAATTCAATTCACACAATTCAAAAATATTCCATTGCAAGAAAAGTCCTACATTCAGAATTGTACTTATGTTTACTGTTTGTATAAAAATCTACTCATTCTTCAAACAATGGACATATCAAGTGTTACATGTTACAATATTTCTGTCAGAAATGTATAAGAAAAGTACATCAAAGAAAAATAATTTACTAATTGTGTTCTGTAACTTTCCATTACTGATGTTTGATGTACTTCACTTGATTTTCAAATGTCACAAATCACACAGCTCTGCCTGTACTTTGAACAAAGTGCAGGTTTTACTCAATCTTCACTGAAACACAGCATACTGTCATCTCACCCGTTGCGGACCAGGTAGTGAGATCTGTTCTGGAAATCATGGGGCGATGGTGAGGTCACACAGGTGTCCAGATAGAGGACCAGGGAGCTGTCCCCCCTCCCCAGGTCCACTTGGACATACATGTACTGGTTGAGCGTCACCATGTATGGAACCTCCGTCACCTAAAAGTGTAAAAGCAAAACGTCAGATTTGTAACTAGGTATTTACAGAAGGAATTTCATTTTTTTTAACACACCTGATAGTAGAAGTTATAGGATGTGTAGAGCGCCATGCTGGTATTGAATCTGCCTGTTCCGGTAATGCTGCTGTTATCATTGTGACGGACAACGTACATGATCTGGGACACTGAATCCGGCTCCATCCGACAGCCCACGTTCATCTTAAAGTGAGACTGGCGGGTGATCTCGCCAGAGGTGGAGGCGTAGGCTCGGAGAGAGTTAGTGTACACAATGCTGCCATTCTCAAACTGGTAAACAGAAGATATTGGAAAAGAGCCTCTAATTATGACAATTATTTGAGTCAGGAAGTAATGTATGTTGTTCATTTTTAAGTAAGCAACTTAGCCTAAGTTGTGTACCTTTCGAACATTGCCACAGGTGTTAATGGGGAAGTTGAAGACCACCTGGTAACTGGAAACCTGGGGTCTGCAGTACTGGTCATTCAGATACAAACTCTGGACGTCGTAGCCGAGAGAGTTGAGGTAACTCCTCTCGATCACAATGTTCATGTTGTCTGAGGAACAGTCCACTCGACCTGACAAAATAATCGTTTTCACAGGATATTTACGACAGTTTGAATTACTTTTAGAATAAAGGTTTAAGATTACACATGGTTGGTTTGTCCGCTGAAATATATGTAATACAATTAACAGGATTAGTATGAACTTTTGTGCAGATGTTCATGATCCCCAGAGGTTGAACCTTCTGACTGCAGTGATCCCCTCGTTCTTCCTGAGGTTCACATTTGTGGTTTAAAATAAAATGCATTAACATATACTGCACGGATTGCAATGAAAGTTGGTGCTTGTATTCATGTCCCCATCAAGATTAAATATAATAACTTTGGTCCTTTACTTTCCATATAGCACCATCCTCAGGTGTACATTTGATTTTTTCCCATTCCTTTTTATTTGATAAAATACTGGTAATGACCTTAACATCAGATTCACTTGTATGTTGTATCACCTTGTGTTGTTTTAAACGAAGATGGTAAACCTGGTGTATATACTATATCATGCCAAAACCTTGCCATCTTTGTCAATCTACACGAAACATTTCACCCAAATATAATGTCATAATACATTTAACAGTAACAATAACAGTACCTGAGCTTGCTGGCAGAGAGCTAATGAAGTCAGCATTGAACCCTCGACCAACCACAGAGCCATCAGTCTGGAAGAGCACCGTCATGTAGTTGGAGGTGGAGTAGAAAGTACTCTGTTGTAGACTGTCGTTGCACACTTTACCCAGAAATCTTGAGTTAACAGACGGCCCATCGTAGACGTTAATATAGTCACAGCCGCAGCAGTTCTCCAATCTGTTTTTAAGATGACAGCCACAAATTATTGACTTGCATAATGAGTTGATAACACATTGAGTGCCAAATTCCCCACAAGTTAAATTAAGACAGAAAAGCTGCTAATATACGAATGTTCTCCAAAAGGGAGTGTTTTCTTCACTCACTGCAGGTAGTCGAAAGACAGGAAGATTCGTTGGTCGTGTGCAGCCCTGAGCTGCCACACACAGTTGGCGTTATTGTGGTAGCTGTTGGGATGGTTCGGGCTGGAGAAGGAACCAGAGCCGTACAGAGAGCCTCCACAGGGCGATGCTGACCGTGAAGAACATAACACAAGTGTCATTGGAGTAAACTATACAGTACAAGAGGCTCATGTTGCACACTAAGGGTCCTACCTGTAGTTGGCATGTCAGTTGTGACTTGGCAGTAGGCTGTTGACAAAAACAAGGTGGGTTTCAGTTTTTGTGTAGAAACTGTGCCAATTGTGTGGGACATGATACTTACAGTAGTAGTCATTACAACAGTTTCCATAGTATTGACAAGAGCTTGAGCAGGAACAGCTTCCCATGTGTCGGCCACAGTTGTAACGACAGGAGGGCTGAGCTTAGAGACACAGGGGAGTAATAAAACATATCAGTTTCTCTCCTGTAAACGGAATAAATTATAGGCTTGTTTTTTCCCACATACTCTGAACAATTTTCATACCTGAGGGTGTTGTGCCAGGTGCAAGGCATTGTGCTACATGACAAAGAGAGTACACAATTATTACAATCTTTTAAATCACAATTAATACTGTTTCCAGCATAGTTAGGCATTCAAGAAGACACAGAAGGGACATGCCAAAACAGAAAAAAACAGGAACTGAGGAGACCTTAACCACATGAAACATAAATGTCTGGAAAACTGTGAATCTATAATCGTTCACAGTAGGTAAATCTGCAATAAATTATTACGCTTTGCTCTTCTTTAACTAGTATCTCTTTGGTTGAGAGTTCATAAAGGTATCATCCTGTTTCAAGGGGAAATACAGTACATCCTATTGAGAGTAAACAAATGATTACACCACTTCAAAGTCATTTTCATGATAATAATTCAGTAAATAGAGAAGATGATGCAACATGCTTTTCTTCAGAAATGGTGATCGTAGTGTACAGAGACTTCCCCGAGCATCTTTGTGGTAAATTATACTTACAGTTGTAATCATAACAACAGTTTCCTTGGCCTCGACAAGAGGTTGTGCAGGAGCAGGTTGTCAGGTAGTAGCCACAGTAGTTACGACATGATTGCCGTCCTTATAGAGAGTATTTCAACGTATCAGTAACTGATAATAAATATTTACTATTCCAAATGTAGGTTGTTGAGAGTGTTTTATACCTGTTGGGGTCTGTGTAGGTGCAGCTGTAGTTTGCCGGCAGGTGGCTACACAAAAAAGACAGTAAAGTGATTACAATCGTTCACACCTCTAATCATTCTTAAAATAATAATATGTATTTACACATACATACATAAGAACATGCATACATACGCACGCATACAATAAATACAATTTACAATATAGGAAAAAAAACGGAATTTAGAAATCATTGAGTCTATCGCTTAATAAATACATTCATTAAAATGGGAATAAATAAATATGTGTTGAAGTGCAGTGCAGTTCCAAATTGTCTGTAACTGTATGTGTTGTGGTGCTAGATCGTTTTTAGACAGTAATGAGTTCTCGTATGGCTCTCGTGTAAATACGGTATTTGATTCTGTTTGTACGAGACTTGATGGACCTGTAGGATCTACCGGAGGGCAGAAGAGCTAGATGCTACAGGTCCATCAAATCCCATACAAACAGACTCAAAAACAACTAAACAAAACATTGTATCCCAACATGTCTGTATATGAACATACCTCCCTCACTGAGAGAGGGATGCAGATCCTGCTCTGATTTGTGAGTCTTGGCACTTACAGTAATAGTCGTAGCAGCAGTTTCCATAGTATTGACAAGAGCTTGAGCAGGAGCAGCTTCCCATGTGCCCGCCACAGTTGTAACGACACGAGGGCCGAGCTTAGAGACACAGGGGAAGTAATAAAACATATCAGTAATATCTCCTGTAAACGGGATAAATTATAGGCTTGTTTTCTCCCGCATACTCTATAGGTTTCGGGAATGTTTTCATACCTGAGGGTGTTGTAGCAGGGTAGAGAGTATTTCAACGTATCAGTAATTGATAATAAATATGTACTATTCCAAATGTAGGTTGTTGAGAGCGTTTTATACCTGTTGGGGTCTGTGTAGGTGCTACTGTAGTTGGCCGGCAGGTGGCTACACAAAAAAGACAGTAAAGTGATTACAATTGTTCACACCTCTAAAAATGTAATAATAATATGTATTTACACATACATACATTTATGTAAATATACATACGCACACATACGCACGCATACACACGCATACACACGTATACACACACATACAATAAATACGATTTACTATACAGGAAAAAACACAGGAATTGAGATTTTGCAATCATTGAGTCTATCACTTAATAAATTCATTAACATGGGAATAAATACATATGTGTTGAAGTGCAGTGCAGTTGGAAATTGTCTGTAACAGTATGTGTTGTGGTGCTAGATCGTTTTTAGACAGTAATGAGTTATTGTATGGCTCTCATGTAAATACGGTATTTGATTCTGTTTGTACGAGACTTGATGGACCTGTAGGATCTACCGGAGGGCAGAAGAGCTAGATGCTACAGGTCCATCAAATCCCATACAAACAGACTCAAAAACAACTAAACAAAACATTGTATCCCAACATGTCTGTATATGAACAGGCCTCCCTCACTGAGAGAGGGATGCAGATCCTGCTCTGATTTGTGAGTCTTGGCACTTACAGTAATAGTCGTAGCAGCAGTTTCCATAGTATTGACAAGAGCTTGAGCAGGAGCAGCTTCCCATGTGCCCGCCACAGTTGTAACGACACGAGGGCCGAGCTTAGAGACACAGGGGAAGTAATAAAACATATCAGTAATATCTCCTGTAAACGGGATAAATTATAGGCTTGTTTTCTCCCGCATACTCTATAGGTTTCGGGAATGTTTTCATACCTGAGGGTGTTGTAGCAGGGTAGAGAGTATTTCAACGTATCAGTAATTGATAATAAATATTTACTATTCCAAATGTAGGTTGTTGAGAGCGTTTTATACCTGTTGGGGTCTGTGTAGGTGCTACTGTAGTTGGCCGGCAGGTGGCTACACAAAAAAGACAGTAAAGTGATTACAATTGTTCACACCTCTAAAAATGTAATAATAATATGTATTTACACATACATACATTTATGTAAATATACATACGCACACATACGCACGCATACACACGCATACACACGCATACACACACATACAATAAATACGATTTACTATACAGGAAAAAACACAGGAATTGAGATTTTGCAATCATTGAGTCTATCACTTAATAAATTCATTAACATGGGAATAAATACATATGTGTTGAAGTGCAGTGCAGTTGTAAATTGTCTGTAACCGTATGTGTTGTGGTGCTAGATCGTTTTTAGACAGTAATGAGTTATTGTATGGCTCTCATGTAAATACGGTATTTGATTCTGTTTGTACGAGACTTGATGGACCTGTAGGATCTACCGGAGGGCAGAAGAGCTAGATGCTACAGGTCCATCAAATCCCATACAAACAGACTCAAAAACAACTAAACAAAACATTGTATCCCAACATGTCTGTATATGAACAGGCCTCCCTCACTGAGAGAGGGATGCAGATCCTGCTCTGATTTGTGAGTCTTGGCACTTACAGTAATAGTCGTAGCAGCAGTTTCCATAGTATTGACAAGAGCTTGAGCAGGAGCAGCTTCCCATGTGCCCGCCACAGTTGTAACGACACGAGGGCCGAGCTTAGAGACACAGGGGAAGTAATAAAACATATCAGTAATATCTCCTGTAAACGGGATAAATTATAGGCTTGTTTTCTCCCGCATACTCTATAGGTTTCGGGAATGTTTTCATACCTGAGGGTGTTGTAGCAGGGTAGAGAGTATTTCAACGTATCAGTAATTGATAATAAATATTTACTATTCCAAATGTAGGTTGTTGAGAGCGTTTTATACCTGTTGGGGTCTGTGTAGGTGCTACTGTAGTTGGCCGGCAGGTGGCTACACAAAAAAGACAGTAAAGTGATTACAATTGTTCACACCTCTAAAAATGTAATAATAATATGTATTTATACCTACATACATTTATGTAAATATACATACGCACACATACGCACGCATACACACGCATACACACACATACAATAAATACGATTTACTATACAGGAAAAAACACAGGAATTGAGATTTTGCAATCATTGAGTCTATCACTTAATAAATTCATTAACATGGGAATAAATAAATATGTGTTGAAGTGCAGTGCAGTTGGAAATTGTCTGTAACAGTATGTGTTGTGGTGCTAGATCGTTTTTAGACAGTAATGAGTTATTGTATGGCTCTCATGTAAATACGGTATTTGATTCTGTTTGTACGAGACTTGATGGACCTGTAGGATCTACCGGAGGGCAGAAGAGCTAGATGCTACAGGTCCATCAAATCCCATACAAACAGACTCAAAAACAACTAAACAAAACATTGTAACCCAACATGTCTGTATATGAACATACCTCCCTCACTGAGAGAGGGATGCAGATCCTGCTCTGATTTGTGAGTCTTGACACTTACAATAGTAGTCGTAGCAGCAGTTTCCATAGTTTTGACAAGAGCTTGAGCAGGAGCAGCTTCCCATGTGCCCGCCACAGTTGTAACGACACGAGGGCCGAGCTGTAGGAGAGACAGGGTGACGTTAACAGAACAGTATAAAGGAAATGTTACAAATGAAATAGCTGAAGGTAAATGGGTAAACGTGAGTAAAGAGGCCGCAGTAGCTCAGTCTGTAGGGTCTGGAGTGTGGACTGGTAGCTGGAGATAATAACTTTTGTAATAAAAGGCTGTCTTTCTTTCTTTTTCTTTCTTAGTAGCTTGAAGAGTTGTACATACGTGTCACGTAAGGGTCCGGGGTAGAGCTTGCAGGGCAGTAATCTAGATAGAGAGAAAGAGAGAGAATAACAAACTTTAATCTTTGTCTTACTGCATATTCATTAGAAAACACCAGTGTTGTAAGAAGTAGTCATATATCGTACTTAAGTAAAGTAGAAATACTACAGTGAAGTTGAAGTCCTGCATATAAAATCTTACTTAAGTAAAAGTACAAAATCCAAAAGTATTTACTGTGTGTAGTAGTGTCCCGAATCATATATATTAAATTACTGTATTATTTGTGTTAATGCATTTACGTGTTAATCACAGCTGTTAAAGTGGAGCTACTTTCAGTTATTCTGCTGTTGGATATATGAACATATAATTATATATCATTTTTATATATTAGTTTATTGAAAGTTTGTTTTAGCCTGAATCTGAAAAGTAACTGATTTTGTCTAAATAAATGTGATGGAGTAAACAGTATAATATTAGCTCCCAAATCGTAGTGGAGTAGAAGTATAAAGCAGCATATTATAACAATACTCAATTAAAAGTAAAAGTACCCGACTTAAGTCAATACTTGATTGATTGTACTTTACATTTCTGGAATACACCTATAGCTCTTCAACAAAAGGGGAAATGTGTCATTCTCTGCACATCATTTCAGTGAGTTTGACAGAGTGATTTCTCCTCGGCTGCTAAAGGTCGTTTACCCGTTGATTTGTTAGACTTGGCACTTACAGTTGTAGTCATGGCAACAGTTGCCATAGTATTGACAAGAGCTTGAGCAGGAACAGGTTCCCATGTTCCAGCCGCAGTTGTAACGACATGAGGACCGAGCTATGGGAAACAACATGTACTTTAAAGAGTGATAACTTGACTTTTTTTTAAAAATAAAACGTTACCTGAGTGAAATGAACAATACCTGTACGTGCTGCTGGTTCAGCTGTAGAAGAGCAGTAATCTGTAAAGCAGAAATATTAGATTGGTTGGTGTATCAGAATCAGATTCAGCTTCAGCTTTATTGGCCAATGTGTGTGCAAGGAATTTGACTCCTCATTTCTGTTGCTATCAATGTGCAAACAAAGAAATACAGGTCTTTGTTCTGCAGGTAAAACAAGGACAACAAATATATACAAGGTAAGTACAGTTGACTATATGTACACACATATTAATATAAAGTGTATATATTAAAAATCACAAATGAAACGTTTTGTAGAGATAGGACAATGGTGCGATGGAGTAAGCACATACACTTATATATACTTATGAACCTAAACCCCTATTTGTTGTTTTCTCTTATTAAATATATCAATGATTGTTTTGCTGGTTCACCCCAGTGATAGAAAAGGTATTTAGATCCTAACTCAAGCAAAAAGTACATGTATAACAAAATATAAAAAACCTATGTTATAAATAAAAGTTCCAATAAGGGGCTTACCATAATAGTCTGGACAGCAGTCCCCATTGCTTCCACAGCTTGAAGAGCAAGAGCAGTTTCCAACATGGTTGCCACAGCTATTTAGGCAGGAATCTGTGGAAAGAGCAGACAGAACAATCACCATCACTGAAAACACACAGTTAGGCTCTCAACATAATGTTATGTTTCATTGTTTACGTATGAGAACCATAAGGGTCATAACATGTGATCTGTGTCATTCTCCTACAGACAAAAACTAAACATTAAAAATGCTTTCAGTTTGTAGGCTATAGTTAATTCTTAAATGATTTGGAAAGCAACACTTTGCTGCTTCATTAGTGTCATGAAGAGTGTCATCCTCCTTGTAAACAGTTACCTTTGTACCTGCAAGTTATTTAGAACTACATATTAAATCAGTTATTTTTTAGGTATAAATCAGAACCATGATCTGACATTATGCTGCTAATTTTGGTGGTAACCTTTTTACCTGTTTTAAATTATTGATTTAATTTTTTTACCTGGAGAACCTGTTGCCAGATTCTTTTCCTCACTGTTTTGGATCTGATCAGCACCTGATGAGAAAAACAAAGGAATGATTAACAACATCCATAAACCCTTAATCCAAAACCAAAGAGACACAAACGACAATAAGAAAATTATGCACAATACCTTGCACTCCAAGTGAGGCAATCACGCTGCAAAGAACCACAAGAGTCCACATGGCGAATTCCTTTACCTGCCAACCTGCTTCACATGCTGAACACTGCAGCTTATATAGGCAGACACCTTGACGTGGCACCCATAAAGTGTCTCAAACCACCAACATTGATACTGATTGATTACTCATTCATTGGAAAGACAGCACTTAGTTAACTATCATGAAGCTTACACAAAGATTGTTCACATTTGGTTTCAGGATGTGTTTAAGGATGTTTGCATTAGAAAAACTAAGCACTTATATATTAACAAAGCACTTATATTCCAACAATGCACTGGCTTATCTAAAGCCAGTTGAGTAGCACTTAAAATGGTTTGGCTCTGTGAAACCTGATGTAGTTATATGATTCTGTTTTCTTCAAGTTTGTATCTTCTTGGTGGAGTGTACTTATTGTAAGTCGCTTTGGATAAAAGTGTCAGCTAAATGCAATGTAATGTAAAAATACCTTTCAACTTCACAAGGGCTTTTGGGAACTTACAGATGGGCAGATAATAAAATATCAAGTATGATCTTACATGTGTAGCTAACATCTGAAGATGTGTCACTGACTCTTGTAACTACACCAATCCTGCTGCATCAGTTGCATTGCTGTTACTGTAACTGGAGATGTTAAAAACATTTTTATAAAAATGATAGTAAAATACTGATGTTGTTTCATTTATGTTAAATCTTTACAGAAATGTATATTTGTCCTGTCCTTTACATGCACACATGTAACACAAGTAATTTAACTTTGTCTACATGTGTTTTCTGGCAAATCATTTCAGCAGAAAGCCTTAGCTGTATTAATAGCAAATGTTAATGAATTGGCAATTGTTAGCATGCTGACTTGCTGAACAAACATGGTGAACAAAGTAAAAATACCTTTTATTTGCTGAAAGTCAACATTTTAAAATCATGTTGCATTTGTTTAATGCAACATTGTATTAATCTCTTATGGGTTGGATTGTATATATTATCCAATTATAAGGCGTATCTAAAATACATATCAAACATCTCATTTAGTTATATATTATATTTGTGGTTGTATAAATCAAATATTATAAATGACCTTTTAAAATGTACAGCCATTTCATACTTTGCTTTCATCTATGATCATCCATTTTATTCTTCAAGTATAAACCTAAAAAAACTATTAAAAAAAAATATGATCATTGTCATACATTTTTTTAATGTGTTTATTTGGTAAATTGGGAATATTAGACTTAATATTTGTATCAATGAGTTGCTACACAAAAACACACTGTATGGTGAACGTGCAACATACAGTAGCGATGTGTCATTGGTTGAAACGAGGACAGAAGAAGAAGAAGAAGCATGAATGTTCTTTATCAGTTTGACATTGTGAACAGTTAGTTGAGTGACCTTGAATACTTATCTGTCAAATTGTCAGCTTACAAGAAAGTCGTAATTTTTGCTTTATAGACTCCTAACTTCCCGTTATAATAATTTACAATGTTTAAAAAGGATAAAACCGGGCTGTAAAACACTAAACGTAACCAGTGTTTCTCTTTCTGGTGAGAAAAAACAGTGAACCCTGTCCTGTTGAATCAGCTGTGTGTTCAGGATTTTCCTTATTTGAGTCACGGATGTGGCCTTTTAATATGGAACATTAGCTAAATATTAGCTAATATATTAGAAATCAGCTTAATGAACATGTTTATCTGCCTATAAAGAAAATCTGAGAGTTGCTTTCACTAGAACTAGTTGGGCTTATTATCTTTAGAACTTACAACAGCTTCACACGATAAAGAGACAGTACTTTTTTATTTGTACATTCGCATCAAATCCGATGTGTTCTCTCAGTTGCAGATGGTTATTAAGTATAGAAAATGTGGGGTGCCATAACATTTGTCATGATTCAATCAGCTATTGTGTTTTAAATAAGCATTTCTGCAATTTGCACTAATGGCATGGAATAAATAATGTGAAAGAAGATTCATATGGATTGTTTCTGGATTTAGAGAAAGAGTATGAGTTACATAGAATGATAGCAGAATA